TAATATTTTATATACGTACTTTGCCTGTACTTACTGCAGAAGAACTTTACCTGCAGCTGAACAACTGTGTGTAGATGGTGAAGAGGACAAGTGAAGAGGGATGTTTAAAGAGTGTCAAAAAGAGCTTCGTGAGCCCCTTCTCTTGCATATTTACATATTTAATGAGTCATTAGTCGAACAGAGGGCCAGAGTCGCGGAAGGCTACTAATCTCCTTCCAATATTTAAAAAAGATAAAGAACTATCGTCCAATTCGCTGAACAGCGATAAGTTTCTTGTACTTAGGTATGGAAGAAATGAAGACCTTCAACGATATACAGGGTACAACACAATCTGATCTCTTGAGGTTATCTTGAGATGATTTCGGGGCTTTAGTGTCCCCGCGGCCCGGTCCTCGACCAGGCCTCCACCCCCAGGAAGCAGCCCGTGACAGCTGACTAACACCCAGGTACCTATTTTACTGCTACGTAACAGGGGCATAGAGTGAAAGAAACTCTGCCCATTGTTTCTCGCCGGCGCCTGGGATCGAACCCAGGACCACAGGATCACAAGTCCAGTGTGCTGCCCACTCGGCCGACCAGCTCCCCGGCTGTTCAGAACTCTCCCAGCAACCATTAGAAATATTGCCGGAACAAAGGTGGATTTGCAGATGTAAAGTCACAATAACGTGGCTGAAAAATGTTGACCAAACCACACACTAGAAATTAAGGAGACGACGACGTTTCGGTCCGTCGTCTCTTTAATTTCTAGTGTGTGTGGTTTGGTCCAAGGTGGATTTCTACCATCGCTTCCAGACACCCACAACACCTCCAGACAAGCATAGTGAGGCGAGTGTGGCGCCAGGAGGGCCCGTTATCTCCACTCCCTGTCAGCTGGCGCTTCCCTCCATCCCAACCATTTCACTCTTCCCTCCCCCCCCCTCCCCCCAACACACACACTGCTTCTACTGTCCTCTACCCAGCAACTAGCCCATGTGCGTGTAGGAAGTAGACTACTAAAAGCTCGTACTTTGCTCATGAAGTGTGAAAGTGTGCGTATGAGGTAGAGAGAGGGGCGGAGGACAGCATGCACCATTGGGTGTGGTAGACGGCCCTCCACAAACACACTATGTCCCCCGTACTAGCTTCCTCTTTGTGAATGAACTCAAGGTCAATCAAGGCTTTATTTATATTTAACTACACGCTGGGTGATGTAAGCTTGCCAAGGGGAGGGGGGAAGAGAGGTGGACCGGGAGAAGGTGAAGGGCTCCAGCCAGTCACAGCCCCACTACCACCACCATTACCAGAGGAACCAACACCACCACCAGACATATCTTCACTAAAGCAACCGCTGTCAATCACCATCACAAGAGGTTATGAAACACCTTTCTATCTACCCGTCCCTGGCACTCTGGGATGTGTACCAGATACCACCTCCCTAAGGTGACCCGTCCCCGACACACACTGGCAGACAACACTCAAGTGTTGGCAAGGTGTGGATGTGGGGCTCTGGCTCACGAAGAGCTCCCCTCACTACCTCATGCAAATCAATCTATCCGTGCTTACGGGGTGCTTGCCAACCCTCCCCATTTCTGGTAGCACCACAAGTGGTGGTGGTGGATAAGGAGAGTGGTGGAGGAGGATAAGGAGGGTGGTGGAGGCGGATAAGGAGGGTGGAGGAGGAGGATAAGGAGGGTGGTGGTGCCCGGGGGAGCGCACGAGGCAGTGTAGGGGAGAGTTGAGGCCCCCCACGGGGACCCTTCCGTGAAACAGGAGCCGCACGTCCCTGCTCCTGGCGCGGGGGAGCCGCGCCTCCACCTGGGGATGTGGGGCCGGGAGAGGGGGCTACACGTCTGCTACAGGGGGAGAGAATTTGCAGCGTCCGGTTGTTAGAGCGAGCGAGGGCGTACTTACACACTCCCGCCTCTCACACAACTCCTCACTCGTTCGGTCGCTGTCTCTCTACTCATATGTGCTTCTAAGAGTCTACCCCCCTCCCCCCTTCCCTCACCTATCTACTATAGAAACTGCCTAGTCAATTTATTGTGTCGCTCCCTATATCGCATTCCATTTCCCGACTTCCAGATCGACGGTAAATTATTTTTAAAGATGAATGTCGCGCAGGGAGAGGCAAGAAACATCTTATAGCTAATCCTATGACGAGAAGCAAGAGGGTGTGGGTGTATTGTCCACCCGACAGCTGTTAGGTCAGTGTTTAAGAGTCAGTGCACCATTCACCATGCACGTTTAGGTGAGTAGAGAGGATCGTGGCAGGAGACGTCAAGATGACTGGGTGGGTAGGCACCTGGTGGCCGACACCTTCACACTCCTCTCTACACCACAACCACCCGTCTAAACCGTCCACCTTCCACACTGCTACACATACACCATAGATGAGGCCGGCCACACACAACCTCCACACCATCTCCTGCTTACACTCAAGGCTGCACGGTGTCATACCGAGACCTCTTAACAATAGAGGTGTTAACATGTATGACGTTAACAAGTATGACGTGTTAACACTATACACAACACGTGTACCTCCGCCTCTTCTGTCACAGTGGTCACATATGCCCGAAACAGATGGAAACACAGATAAAGTCACTCTTCAACCTTCTATCTACAGGATACGTTACTAGCTAAATATGTAGGTCTTAAGAGGGGACCTAAGTAACTTACAGGAAGTGTCTCATCAGCCAAGATGTAGTGTGTCTGAATCCGCAGGCAGCAACCAGCAACAGTCTCACTGACCAGGCGGTCACCAAGGATCCCATCATGGCAGCTGATATACACACGGGGGTCTGGTAGCTGAGCGGACAGCGAGCAGGACTCGTAATTCTGTGGCCCGGGTTTGCTTCCCGAACCAGGCAGAAACAAATGGGCAAAGTTTTTTTTCACCCCTGATGCCCTTGTTACCTAGCAGTAGGTACCTGGGAGTTAGACAACTGTTACGGGCTGCTTCCTGGGGGAGGGGGGGGGGTTGGAGAGAAGAAAAAATAGTAACAGTTGATTGATTGACAGTTGAGAGGCGGGCCGAAAGAGCAGAGCTCAATCCCCGAAAGCCCAACTAGGTGAATACACACACCCACCCACACACACGGGGCCTCGTAGTTGAGTGGACAGCACTCTGGATTCGTAGACCTAGGGACCGGGGATTGATCAACGGCGGTGGCGGAAACAAATGAACAGTTTCTTTCACACTGATGCTCCTGTTCACCTAGCAGTAAATAGGTACCTGAGAGACAGCTGCTACGTATTGTCTCCTGGTGATGCGTGCGCTCGCTCGTATATGTTGTTGACATGATAGATGAAAAATAAATTGGTTAGAAAGGCGGGGTCCAAGAGCTAATAGCTCGATTATGCAAATACAAATAGTAAATATATATATATGAATGACACCAATTTAAAGGTCCGTGACATGGCCTGCCTGCCGTCTTGTAGAAGGGAAAGTGTTGCCACATCTCCCCCCAGTCTCTTCCTCTCTCCCTGCCCCTCCTCTCCTCACCCATGGCTGGCTCCCCAGCCACTGGACCTCTTACTTCTCACCCTGGGCCACACCACCCCAGCCACAGGACCCCCACCTCTCCACAACACCAACCATAGGACCCCACAACCCCAGCCACAGGACCCCACCTCTCCACAACCCCAGCCACAGGACCCCCCCCCCCCGCTTGCCTTGAACCGACAATGTGACAGAGACCAGTTAGGTTCCCCCAGCGGTGAGCGGTGAGTCAGCTGCCCCACCACCACCCGTCGCACGCTTCTCTCCCCCACCAACACTCATGGTCTGGCCTCCACGTGGGACACTCTTTACTCACCTGTACTTCACTTCTAAGTTCTAGAAACCGTAGTAGCACTGAAATGCTGACACGTGTAAATAAGTCACTTGGACCCCCCGAGTGAGCAGCACCCACGTGTCAGTGCTCACCTAACAGTGCTTACAGGGTCGTTAGGGCTAGCACGTTATGCCATATATACTAGTCACATTGTACTTGTTGCAGTATAATTTATCTGACAATGTGATGTCGAACATGGTCTTAAAGTTGTAGACTGATGTGACTTGCACGGCATTTCCATATACAGAAGTTCAACAAAATTATAGTTACATTTTTTAAAACAAGTAATTTTCCAATGAGTAAAATGGGAGTTATCATGTTATTTCTATCCTCCAGTGACGTGAGGTTCACTCATGCCTCTCGGCTCCGGGACGAGTCTCATGCTCTCAGATGTGCCCAGCTTAAGGCTGGGATTTAAGCGATGGCGCCATGCTGTAGCAGCATACTCCAGAATGTGTGTAAGGTACAGAGGTGTGTAGCGTAAAGCGTTCTCAATGGCTCCTTGTTCAAATTCTTAAAAGGCAGAGCCCACACTTGCCCAAATCGCTGACATTACCAGGTTGGTGTGGCCTTCAGGAGACTTGTTTGATGTCTGCCCTCGGCTCCTTTGTTAAACTCGTAAGATTTCTTCCTATCACCCACCTCTTACATTCACCCTCTTCAACCACTTTCATTGCCTTGCAATTCATGGAAATGAACTCCAGCATCCACGTGTCAAACTATTTTTGCATTTGTGTACAAGTCATCCACCGTTATCATCACTAGTTTCACATCTCTCAACATGGTCAGGGCGCGCGCTTACTATCCTTCCTTGCCTTTAGCAGTTGCTGAAGGACCAACTACCGAGTCCAAAGAGAATTTAAAGTTTTCAACTAACATATGTTTATTGATTTTTGTACGGCTCTCGTGAAGGTTATTGGTACACACGAACCGACAAGGTTAATATCTGGCTCGTGTACACCTGGGCACTCACTGTGTCACACACGTGTACACCTGGGTACTCACTGTGTCATACACGTGTGTACCTACATAACACTCAGGCGGGCCGAGCCATGTGCGTATACCGATAGCATGTATCGTAATAGCCAAACGTAGTAGGAGGAAAGAGAGATTAGGGAGGGAGAGCAGGAGGAGAGGGAGAAGCGGTGAGAGATAATTGAAAGAGGGTTACGGGAGGAGTGGACTTACCAGTGGGGGCGTGGCAGTGGGGATGGCTGAGGTAGGGGGAGCGGGCGCCTCCCTGGGCGTGTCCCGCGACCCGCCGCTGGGGGCGTGGCTGTTGTTGGTACTCACGCCGCAGTTGGTGGCGTTGGCGGCGTTGGTGATGCTGGCGGTGTTGGTGATGCTGGCGGTGTTGGTGATGTTGGAGGTGTTGGTGATGTTGGGGGTGTTGGTGATGCTGGAGGTGTTGGTGATGTTGGGGGTGTTGGTGATGCTGGAGGTGTTGATGTTAGGAGTGTTGGTGATGGTGTTATTGGGGTTGTTGATGTTTGTGGCGTCAGTGGGGATGCCGTTGGTGTCGTAAAGCTTGTGTCTCTGAGCCAGACGGTCGAGGGAGGCCAGACGGTAGGTGTTGCCGCTGGAGGTGGAGTACTTGGAGGTGAAGGTGGGGTTGTAGCCGCTGGTGGCGTTGTTGGGGGCCGGGCCGGGGTTCGAGCCCCCGCTGCCGCCCATGTAGGACTTCTTCATGTCATCGAGGCGACGAAGGCGAGGAGAGCTGGAGTAGGAGGGGGGCGTGGAGCCCGTCCTGAGGAAGGTGCTGCCGCCGCCCCCCGGCTGTGACGTCACCACCCTCCCGCCACCGCCGCCCTCCCCGCCGCCCTCACCGTTCATGGCCAGCACTCTAGTCCTCACGCCGCCCACACTCCTCGCCTGCTCTGGGTTGCCGCAACACGTCTCCACCGTGGCCACGTTAACGACACGCCTCACACTTCACACACTCCTCCCTCACACAACACCTGGGAGATGTTGCCTCACACTACACCTGGCAGATGCTGCCTCCCACCACAATATTTACAGTAGAGGCGGCCTTCACTACACTACCGGCGCCGCTGGCACAACCAACAACATCTGCTACACCCTTCTAAAATCAATGTGGCGCCCTCAGTAGCCAGTACACACACACATGGGCCCACAACCCATCCTGACACCTCGTGTGGGTCGTGGGTGGGTGGGTGGGGTGGGGAAGGGGAGCTGGGTTGCACTACGAGGGGGGTGGGGTGGTGGTGTGGTCAGCAGTGATCCCGGCGCCACACTCCCAGAGTGTTGGAGATGGTGGTGCTGCTGCTGGTGGTGGTGTGGCCGCCTCGCTCACACACCACTCACTCACTGGCCACCCAGACAACCTACAACCCGGCCCAGCCCTCCCCCGCTCCCCCCCCCCCCCCCCCCCGCGCGCACACACAAATGCACACACACACACGCGCGCGCGCGCGCACACGCGCGCACACACACACACACACACCATCACAAACGAAAAAATTGTACTAGAGTTTCTGGGAACGAAGTCACTACACAAGCACACAAGTGTTGGATATTTACCTGTAGTCGGTTTACAGAGTATTATTTATCATGGCCGACCAGCGTGCCGTGCTTGTCTAGTGATAATTTGATCTGTAAGGCTGTTACTTGCAGCAACCAGTAAACCCACGTAGCCACAACCACCAGGCTCATCACGAAACTTGTAAAAATTTATCTGAAAGGCGTCCACCACTTATGTTCCTACAATATTTGTTACATTTTGGTGGGAGGAGGTTGGGGAGCCGTGGCCCTCTGGCGTTCAAACAGTGTAGTGTGTGTGTGTCTATGGCACCTCTACTCTTCCCTGGCTCTATACCATATTTCCTGCCATAGCATTCCTTTAGATTTTGTTGTGAATATTTGGCACCCGTACTACCAGTATCTTCCAAGTATATGTATCTCTATGTCTGTACAAGAAATTATCTGTCTGAGGTTGCAATGCACAAACTTTGCGCTCTCTAATACAAGAGAGCAGTACATAGTAGAACAACCACAGTGGCGCGACGCGGCGCCGGACAGTCGGAGCAAATACAATGGAAAATTCACACTTCAAGAAGCTAATCATGGGTCAGGTCAAGGGTGATGTGGTCACGGGTTATCACATACGATGTCACCACACCAATCCACGAGGATTAACTCTTCCACATCATAAGGAAGCCGAAGACCTCCCACGCCTCGTACATAAGAGATAACGTTCAACGACAATGAACTTCAGTGATTCAAATGAGTGTCATGTGACATGGGGCCAAAGCAACCCACAAGATAAATCTTGCTATTCCCAATCAGGATCAACTTATTTTTTAACTTTATAGTACAGTATAACAATATGTGCTGATGATGCCCAATAAAACAATCAAATCATTATACCTTCATCCTTTAAAGCTTGCTATGCCCAGTGTGTAACTGATTACCAATTCTCCATATTACACGCATTCACACACACTTGGCGGGTACCAGACTATACCTGGGTTTCTCAGCCTCCTCACCCTTTCCCCACTCCACCTTCTCTCATCTCTACTTCCCTATCTTTTCTCACCAAATTTCGCTTCCTCTCACCCCTCTTCTTCCCTCTCCAACCTCTCTATCTCCTGCTCTCCCCCCCCCCCCCTCTCTCTCCCGCTCGCTACATTTCTCACCTCACTCCCCCTCTCCACTTTCTCGTTCCTTCATCACATGTCTCCCCCTCTCTCCTTTCCTCTCTTCAAACATCCCTCTCTCCCTATCTGTCTGTGTTCCTCCCTCTCTCCCTCCCCCTCTCTCTCTGTCATTTCCCCGACTATCTCTGTCAATATTAAAAAATATAAGAGTTCCCACTAACTTTGAGAAAGGCGAAGGGTGTTAATAATAATGGAGGCCCGGTTTTAATTTACGCGTTTTCACTTTTAATGGCCATAGCATGATGAATAAAATATTTGTGTTAATTTTCTCCCAACTCGCTCGTCTAATGTTTTAAATATTTAGTCAAGCATAACTGGCGGGCAGTGTGCGAAAATCAGTTGGATGTGGGGGGGTGGGTTAGTATGTGACTGTGGTACAATGTTTCCTCTTGAATTCTGACGGTCGTGACCAGCTATTATGTCCGTCCTGTACCCCAAACCATTCACCCTGCAAAGCTGGGTGAGGCTAGCCTCAAGCCTCCAGTCTTTGACAGACGTTCTCTTTCATATTCAGTATACAGATACATGGAAGAGGGGTAGCCATGGCCCTCCAGGATACTCTCGTCTCTTTCCCCCCCCCCCCTTCCACACCACCATTCCACCCCTCTTAACATTTTCCCACATTCACCCATCTTCAATCCCAATCCCCCTTCTGCCTCTTCCCTCTCATTTTCTCAATTTCTCTCTTCTCCCCTCACCCCCATCTCCTTACCCTCCCCCTCTCCCCTCTAGCCTCGAACAAGCAAACATTTCCATTTATACATATAGAGGAGTTACTGGGCTTGACCTGGGCCCTTCTCCCCCTATTCTCCACATTTCACCCCATCTCTCCCTTCATCCCTCCCTACTCTTCCCCTTCTCCATTTGTTTTATTACGAAGCACTGGAACATCTACACAGTACAGGCCTCTCGGAAAACATTAATATTAACACTAAATAGTAATGTGAGAGTAATATATTATTATATCTAAAAATTCTAGGGAAATCACCACCTATTTCGGTCAACTCCGAGAAGTTTGCATGAGGGTCTCTATAAAAGACAGGGAAAAGGAATGAAAGAGAGAGAAATGGGGGTAGTTGGAGAATGCACTAATTTACCTGTACTCGATTTCCAGAGTGCTAGTAGTCTCCGGCTTGTTATATATTTGTGAAAGTGGCACTATGACAACAGGGAGTGGCACTATGACAACACAGTGCCTCCAGCGGAAGCCTCAAGCAACCTCCCCAACTTGACCAACAATACAATTTCACACTTCCTGTCACTGAACCATCGTGGAGGTCGTGTCAAGCACCATTGTTGTCAACATCCACCGCTAATACCCCACCAAAAAAAAACCTGCATTGTTTCGCACAGCTATTAGTTAATTCATTACTAGAAACACTGCGTCTTAATATACAAAGGTTGTTAGCTAATAAGTGCTGCAAGTACGGAGTCCTAACACACCTCGGTTAACTATACCCTCAACCATCACATACAAACGTCTTTGGCAACATAATGCAACAGTAGTTTAGAAAACACCGAGGTTCGTTGGTAATTATTACACAATGTGTTTATTAGCTATACTGACAGTTTGTTAACTACAAGCAGATTCCCTAACTTCTTAGATTACTGGTGTTGCTGGCCACAGCCTCGCCCGGTGGGCACCACCGCACCACATATCCTCATTTAAATGTCAAAAACAGACAAGAGTATTAAAAGCAAATGGGTATTATGGTGTAATTATGTGGTGGTGAGGACTGTCGTCTCCCACTCTAGTCCTTCAAGCAGTCCCTCCATTTTGTAGTGCTTATTAATGTTTTAAAGTGTTAAAATAGTAAGATTAATTAAGTAAATATATATATATATTTTAGGTAGAGACCTTGGTATGTTTGATATCATGTCTTGTATTAAACAACACATTGTCAATTCTTTCTTATAATTACTCATTCTGTAAGTTAATTGAGTCAATTGTGACACAAGGAGCGGTGGATCGACTGCCAAAGGTATTAACTTGTGCTATTACTTAACTATAATATTGTGCTCCCTGTATGGAGGATTATTTTGTGCATTCCTCTCTGATAACCCATTAATTCTATTAGTGAAACTACAAAGTATAATATTATATATATTATATATTTCTGTAATATCTATCGCGGATAAACATAATTCCTAGTTTAGAACTATTCAGACATGCGACAATAGTGTGAATTAACTATTTGTATAACTTTTCATAAAGAACTAAAATCCAAATCTAAACTTTTAGCCTAACTGTTAAGTATAATTGCAATTACGTCTCAGGGAAAATAACTGTAATAGTGTTCCTACTACACATATTTCCTTAAATGTACTGTAAGTATAGCATAGCCCATGAGCGCGGCCACAAGTGCTCTCCCCACGGCTGTGTCAGGGTAATCAGGTGGAAGGTCTCTACCAGGCTACCTTCACTCTCTTAATATTTGTCTTTAGTTCAGACTTCATGTCTCAGGGACACTTTGTGTTCGTTGCAACCCGTTCTCGCACTTTCTTACAGTTAAGATGCTTATCTTAACATACTAAGAAGGTTAGGTAAGGTCGGTATTTTCTATGAAGCTTTTCAAGGTAAACTAGTATGTTTAGTATGCCATATATGCACGTATTTAATAAGTCAATATTGACTATACGAAAGTGCGAGAACGGGTTGGTTCATTAATTCATTATGAATGGACTCGTGGCAAAGTAGTGAACTTGGATGATCTTCACAGGACGCCAAGACTGCCGCCTCTGACACTCTTGGCCATGTTCTCTACACTCACACACTTACGGATTTCTTAAAACACGCTTTATTATCCCCTATTACAAGATCCTATTTGCAGGAGAATTGCTAAATATCTTTATTGTGAAGTTAGATACCACGTTCCACTCAATACTGTAAGTTCAGGGGAGTTGACGCAGCCAACGTCAACGTCTCCTTAAAGTTTCCCATCGTCAAGAAAACGATCAATTTAAAGTGTCCTCTCCTAACCTTCCAGAGAACCCAAAACAGAAAACGCGATAGTACGTCACTTTCGCCAGCCGCTTCCATTTTCTAGTACAATTTGTGGCCTTATGTAACTCATAGGAGCGAAAAGTGACGTTCTTTGTAGGAGAGGCCGTGGCTACAAGCACAGAGTGTTTGCTGCTCCCGGCTACACCAGAGCCGGCCGGCCGAGCGGACAGCACGCTGGACTTGTGATCCTCTGGTCCTGGGTTCGATACCAGGCGCCGGCGAGAAACAATGGGCAGAGTTTCTTTCACCCTATGCTCCTGTTACCTAGCAGTAAAATAGGTACCTGGGTGTTAGTCAGCTGTCACGGGCTGCTTCCTGGGGGTGGAAGCCTGGTCGAGGACCGGGCCGCGGGGACACTAAAAGCCCCGAAATCATCTCAAGATAACCAGACATACCAACAACTCGCTCTTTAGTACTTAAATACAACTGATAATTACTGCCTCAGGCTGTGAAAATTACGACTCTGTGCCACTCCTGCACAACTCCTCCTCTCAGTGCCACTCCTATAGGATTTTACCCTCCTCTTTCTCCTTTAAAAACAAAAGGTCTTCCGCTTTCACCTTTGCCAACAAATGTCAC